ACAGCGTTTTGTTCTGGTAGCTTGAGCTCACCAATAAAAGGGAAGGGCTCTTGATTTCGGCCATAAAAAGAGAAAGGCCCAGAAAAGCATGGAGTTAATTAGAAGGAAAGGCAGGGCACACGGGAAAAGCAGGTCAAAGCAAGCTGTAATTACGGAGGGTCTCCTTTCTTCTACTCCCCTCACAGCCTTAGGCTGGAGAAGACAGGACTTAGAGTGGTGTTTGTAAATATGCAGATCAGCCTCCTCCAGGTACCCTGGGGAAGGGGGTCTTACTTAGGGAACTCATTAAAGCTCAAGGTTCACGAAATGGAGCACAGGCAAATGAATACGTAAAATGCTCCAAACCCTAAGACTGCTCCGAAGTGGATGGCCCCACTCTCTAGCAGGGGCCTGAATGCGCTGCTTTTCTACCAGGTCTCAGTGAGGGAGGAAAGGAAACCCTGACTGAGGCTGGCCACCTTGGGGTATTTGCTTTGGAATACAAAGAGAAAGGCTAGTTTTTTAAAAAAAGTAATTAAAAGTATTTCGTAAGCATTTTATATAGAAACTGCTTGACCCTACAGTTTAGACTTCACTGAGGCCGTCAGTAATACTGATCATAATCTGAAACTTACACCAACTGAGGAAGAATTCCCCAGGTTCTTAGATTCCACCTGGCTCTCTGCCTTCTAGGGGCTGGAGGAGCCCTCTTGGGGAGTTCGGGGGTAGCTTCTGGCTCTGCGTCTGTGGCCAAGTGACAGTCCTGAGTCTCCACAGTGCACTGTAGCCCATCCGGAAAGCCAGCCCATTCATCAACAAGAGGGGAGCACACCAGCACCTACTTCCTTTTCTCAAGCTCTGATGCTGAGGTGGGGTAGCAATGGAACATTTTTAGTGTAGCATTCTTGATTTTCTAGAGTAAAACGAAAGTCTTTGAAAATACCCACCCCCTACTCCCATTTTAAAAGAGGAATGGCAAACGTGGCTGCTAAAAAGGTCTACTCTTAGTCTTGATCAAGGCAGATTACGCTACCAGACAGCATGGAATTCTCTGGTCAAGGAGTAAATAAGAGGCTGAGTGAGGAGTTTAGGGGATTACCTGGTTAACCCAGACCCTGTCTATCAAAGCTTTTGGCCAGCATGTCCCTGGTAACCAGCACAAGGCAATGAGGGACTCAGAGAAAACTCCAGGCCATGAAGGTTAGGCTAGAGATACACAGAGTGTCCACAGCAGAACTTTAAAATTCTCTTGCTGAAAAATAAGCAGTGTCAGGTATCCTGACGGCATCTTCCTGGGTGAGATACTCAGGAAGTGTGGAGTACAGGCAGCTAGTGACAAAACCGCACCAAGTGGTTGCTCTAGACAGCAAAGGGACACACACAGTCTAATTAAGGAAACAAAGGAGAAAGGTTCCAGTTTGGTCATCGGAAAGGTAGTGGTCATCTGAGAAGAGGTATAACCTGGGCTTTCCATCTCTCCACACTGCGTGTCTTTCCAGCAGATCGGCAACATGGTGTGTGCTCCTCCCATTGAAAGCGGGAATTAAAGGGTTCAGAAAACAGCTCAACGGAACTTTGTAACTGTAGCCCTGGCAGGACCCTCATCTCTGTGCGTCTCTTTATGACTCCCAAGAGAAAAGACCCCGAAAGGACAGACTGTTATCTCCGACACCCACACTGGTCATTCAGTTCTTGCCAGGAGCAAAACTAATCCCTGCACATCTAAGCTGGGCTCTCCTAACGTCTGGCGGCAAGGCCACTCAGAGCGGCCAGGCACTGCCGCCGTTCAGTGACGCTGGCACCTCGCATACTTACACACATTTCTTGTTTAACGGCTTGCTCGGTTAATGACTGTGCTGCTTATGACCTGTTTTTGGAGGGAGTACAGATCTGGACATCCTATTATTGGGCCTCAGTGGTTTTTTTCTTTCGGTGTGCAGTACACCTTGTTTACACAGTAACTTCTGCTGACTGCACTGTGTAGTGCTGTAGTTTCACATTGTAATAATACACATAATAATGCTGTAGCGCTGCGTGTGAGAGTTGTGGAAACAAAAGCGAAGCCATCAAGCTGGAGTTTCCTCCGAGCGTTTCCTTGCTCTGAATATCGCAGTGCACGTGCCATCTACAACTCCTCAGTCCGTGACCACTTGACAGCTTCACTGCAGGAAGAGAACTTGGTCTTGAAGCAAGGAGTGCCTGGAGCCCACAGTGTCTTCGGTACGCTCACTGAGGCCCTTTGCTTCCAACAGTTCGTTAGGCCACAGTAAAACTGATTCATTTGGCGTTAAGGAAATTCTCAGATGCAAGGAAACTCTTCAGAAGTGATGTGACCTTTGAAACGTTCTGATATGCAGAAATGGCTATCATAGGGGTGCATATATTTTCTTAAGGGATTTATATTTTGAACCACAGAAAACAACTGAATTAGTTATCCTGTTATTCTTGGCTAATTGTTTTGTGTTTAATTTCTGTCTTATACCCCTGTTTAATAAGCTTATTTACACACACCTTATTTATCTAAAATACTAATACTTTTGGATTTTAGTAATAAATACTGTCCTCCAAAGCATTTACTGCAGAGGTGGGCAGAGCAGTGACTCCATTTGTGTCACTGCCATTCCCGATACTTTTCACAGGCCCAAGCAGGCTCGTGGTGCTGGGATGGCTTCTTGGTCGTGTCTCAGGCACCCTGGTCCCTTGCAGTGACCTGTGCAGCTCTTCATTAATGAGCTGTGTTTTTTCGAAACACAGCTTCCAGCAACATTTAAGTACGTGCTCAGTGTAGCCCGGAAGAATTCATGGACGCTGCTAAGATGTCAGGAAAGCGCAGTGAAGGAACACAGGAGCAGCCTGACGAGCGCTTTCCACGTCGCTGCCGTGTCCGAAGGTGTCCTGGGGTTTCTGCATCACTTTCATCCCTCCCTTTTTTGCCCTCCTTGTGAGGGATCAGTACTCCCTGCAGCCAGCTGACGTGTTGATGGCAGGGGCTGCTGTATGAAGGTTGTCAGACAGCACGCGTTCTTAAGAAAAACAAGGCATCTCTCCTGAACTGTTCTGATAATACGATGTCTAATACAGATATTCTTCATTTAACAACCTACCTGCTTAATGACAGTGTAGACTTAGGACCTTATTTATTTTTTAATCTTTATTTATTTGATACAGGGTCTTGCTACGCAGCTCAGACTTATAGTGATCTTCCTGTCTCGCCCTCCCCAGTGTGGGGAATACAGGTGTGCACCATCATGCCCAGTTTTGGTGGCTGGCAAGGCGCACAAGGGGTTTTGGGGCTGGCTCGGCACACTGTACTTCGGATCAAACCTGGGTCCTGGCACTTGCCAGGCAGGTGCTTAGACTTCCTGAGCTCTCTCCCCAGCCCCAAGGTATGCTACTTAGACTTACAACCTGCTGCTCAGACTTAAGGACCCTTTTCCTGGGTACAGCTCTGCACACCCTACTTATGCAGCCTCAATGTCTGTTTTTGTACAGTATACTTTATACAGTAATTTTTGCTGATCGTACTGTACAATACAGTACCATAATTTTATGTTGTTTTACTATACAGTACTAAATATGTAAGTTACCAAGTTGGATTTTCTTCTAATCATTTCTTTATTCTGAATATA